TGACCTCGTCCTGACCTCGTCCGGACCTCGTCCTGACCTCGTCCGGACCTTGTGTTGACCTCGTCCTGACCTTGTGCTGACCTCGTGTTGACCTCGTCCTGACCTCGTGCTGACCTTGTGCTGACCTCGTCTTGACCTCGTCTTGACCTCGTCCTGACCTTGTGCTGACCTCGTGTTGACCTCGTCCTGACCTTGTGTTGACCTCGTCCTGACCTTGTGTTGACCTGCATATGACAATAAACCTAAGGTGATTCTGAAAGCAACACAAGACAAAGGTTTGATCCGGACAGAACCTGTTCAGGTGTGCAGGTCCGGATGAGACAGTTTCTGGGAGTGAACGGGTCAAAAGTTCTTGATGAATAAAACTAGAAAAAACATTTTTTCCAAATCTTTAAATTCTTCAGAGAAACATTTCTATTTATCTGCACCGTTGTTTTATGGTTTGAAAGTTTTGCATCAATTATCACAAAAATATGAGAAGACCTGCAACTTCATCCAAACCCCCTCGCTGTAGTTCATGGTTTGTTTGTTTGTTTGTTTTTGTTTTGTTTTGTTTGTGGGTTAATGCGGACATAATTGTGTCGATGAGATGAATGGTTTAATTTTAGTTTTGGATAAAGCTGAAGGTTCTGCCTTCAGGGTTTCCAGATGACCCACTCTCTGGGAGGAGGCACCGGCTCCGGTATGGGTACCCTGCTGATCAATAAGATCCGGGAGGAGTACCCTGACCGCATCATGAACACCTTCAGCGTCATGCCCTCACCTAAGGTACGTCTGGATCCATGTCTCCTGTTTGGACCCTTTGGTTTCTGGTTTTTAACCTTCATGCTGTCTCCTGACCCGTCAGGTGTCGGACACGGTGGTGGAGCCTTACAACGCCACGCTGTCCGTCCACCAGCTGGTGGAAAACACGGATGAGACCTACTGCATCGACAACGAGGCCCTCTATGACATCTGCTTCCGCACTCTGAAGCTCCCCACACCCACCTATGGAGACCTGAACCATTTGGTGTCGGCTACCATGAGCGGCGTGACCACCTCGCTCCGGTTCCCCGGACAGCTCAACGCCGACCTGCGAAAGCTGGCCGTCAACATGGTGCCATTCCCGAGGCTCCACTTCTTCATTCCGGGGTTCGCCCCTCTGACGGCGCGGGGCAGCCAGCAGTACCGCGCCCTGACTGTTCCCGAGCTCACCCAGCAGCTTTTCGACGCAAGGAACATGATGGCGGCCTGCGACCCCCGCCACGGGCGCTACCTGACTGTCGCCACGGTCTTCCGTGGACGCATGTCCATGAAGGAGGTGGACGAGCAGATGCTGAATGTCCAGAACAAGAACAGCAGCTACTTCGTGGAGTGGATCCCCAACAACGTGAAGGTGGCGGTCTGCGACGTGGCCCCCCGCGGGCTCAAGATGTCCGCCACATTTATCGGGAACAGCACGGCCATCCAGGAGCTGTTCAGGCGGATCTCGGAGCAGTTCTCAGCCATGTTCCGGAGGAAGGCCTTCCTGCACTGGTTCACGGGCGAAGGGATGGATGAGATGGAGTTCATGGAGGCGGAGAGCAACATGCACGACCTGGTGTCGGAGTACCAGCAGTACCAGGAGGCCACAGCCGATGACGAGGAGAACTTTGACGAGGAGGAGGAGGAGGAGGAGCTCGAGTGAAGACCTCCAACACAGGACGTTGGAATCGTAGCACAGAGGTCCGGTTCTTCTACTTTACCTTTTTGGAGCATTTTGTTGGGCTGAACTATTTTCCAATGATTCAACTTGTTTTGTTGTGAAATTTGACGACATTTGAGGACGTCGACCTTAAAGGAACAACTTCATGAAGCAGAACCAGTTTCTGTAACGAGGTACCTCAATGGTCGGTCGTGTTCACGCGACCTGACAGTTAGTTGGTTAAAGGAGTTTTTATTTTTTGACCCACCAAATGTCTCGACATGAAGTTGTTCAAGATGAACGTTAAACCGATGGTTTCTGAAGCTAAGCTAACATTAGCATTCAGCTTTCTGAAACAATCATGCTAACGGTTTGTTTGAAAAAGCTAAAGAATAAATTTAACGTTCTATGCAGCGTTTGACTCGTAACGTGCACTCTGACACGCACGTTCTGTGAACATCTGAAGTGTTTGTGTTGAACCCAGAGTTTAAAACGAAGAATGGAGGAACAGTCCTGCGGGGGTTATCGCCCCCCGCAGGACTGGAGGAGACGTTTCTGTTGCACGTTTCAACCAGAACTTTCTGCGTTTAGTTCTTGGTGTTTTGGTTCAAGTTGTAAAAAATAAAAATAAAAAATGTGTTCGGAGCCGTTTTCTGTTTTTGAGCCGCTTCAATGTGATTTTTTATTTATTTATTTATTTTTTTAAATCAATTTAATCCAACATGGCTCCGACTAAGAGTTAAAAACTGTTCCAGGAAAGATCCAACTGAAAGTCTGAATCTGCTTCACAGCATCTGATGATCTGAGTTTATTCGTTTAAATAAGTTTGGAGTGGGGGTCCTGTGGAAACGGTCTGAACAGTTCCGTACCACAGAGCAGACAGCGTCCCCACTAGCTCAGGAGCCAGGCAGAAGGAGAAATCCCACACAAAACAGGCTCTAGAGCAATGTGGATATCCTAACTGGGCCTTCCTGAAAGCAGAGAAGAAACCCAAACAGGACTCCAGTCAGCCATCAGGTGAAAGGAGGAACCCAGACCCAGACCAGTGGTCATTCCATATGTTGAGGGAGTATCAGAGAAACTGAGACGTTTATTTTCTAAACATAACGTCCCAGTGGCTTTTAAACCCCAAAATACATTAAAGACTGGTTCATCCCAAAGATCCAGTCCCCCGGCACAAACAGAGTAATGTTGTGTATGTTGTTCAGTGTCAGGAGGGTGATCAGTCTTACATCGGGGAAACTAAACAGCCACTGGCAAAAAGGATGGACCAGCACAGAAGATCAACATCATCAGGCCAGGACTCTGAGGTCTACACTCATCTCCAGGCCAGCGGTCACTCTTTCAGGGATGAAGATGTTCACATCCTGGACAGAGAGGAACGATGGTTTG